AAGTAGTGCATAAACTAGGGTTTAAGCTTTTGTCACTCTCGCAACCCATCATCTAATAAATAATCCACAATGCATTACCTTAGGCCCTAATAAGGTTAAGTGCCATGTAGTCGACGTTCACATGACACCACTAAGGGAATCACAACATACATACCATCAAAATATCGAACACATATCAAATTCACATGATTACTTGCAACAAGATTTCTCCCGTGACCTCAAGAACAAAAGTAACTACTCAAAAATGATAATCATGCTCAAGATCAGAGGGGTATTAAGTAGCATAATGGATCTGAACATATAATCTTCCACCAAATAAACCATATAGTAATCAACTACAAGATGTAATCAACACTACTAGTCACCCACAAACACCAATCTAAGGTTCCGGTACAAAGATTAAACACAAGATATGAACTAGGGTTTGAGAGGAGATGGGGATGTTGAAGATGTTGATGGAGATTGCCCTCCTCAAGATGGGAGAGTTGTTGGTGATGATGATGACGATGATTTCCCCCTCCGGGAGGGAAGTTATCCCGGCGGAATCGCTCCGCCAGAGGGAAAAAGTGCTCGTACCGAAGTTCTGCCTCAAGACGGCGAAGCTTTGTCTCGAAAGTCCTCTCCTTATTTTTCTAGGTCAAAATGACTTATATACGAGAAGAGGGGCACCGGAGGTGGGCCGAGGAGAGCATAACCCACCAGGGCGCGCCCAGGTGGGTTGTGACCACCTGGTGGGGCCCCTCTGGTAGTTATTTGCTCCAATAATTCTTAAATATTCCATAAAAAATCTCCGTGAAGTTTCAGCTCATTTAGAGTTTTGCAAAATAGGTGGCCTGACGTAGCTTTTTCAGGTCCAGAATTCCAGATGCCGGTATTCTCCCTCTTTGTGTGAACCTTGCATATTATGAGAGAAAAGGCATTAGAATTACTCCATAAAGCATTATTATGCATAAAAATATCATAAATAATAGTAGGGAAACATGATGCAAAATGGACGTATCAACTCCCCCGAGCTTAGACCTCGCTTGTCCTCAAGTGAAAACCAAAATCGAAAAAGATGTCCACATGCTTAGAGATAGAGAGGTGTCGATAAAACGAAATAAGGACATGGAAGCATAATGTAAATTATTATAACAGCAAAAAACTTTATTGCAAAACTTTTATCACATAAATTTTATCATAAACTTCTCATGAGCAAGTAACAATTCATCACAACGTCGAAGTATAAAGCATAAACTCTATTGAAAACCAACAAACTATGTTCTCAGTCAACTTTGCAACTACAATTCATCATCTTTTCAGGAAGGGTCACGTATCGGAGCCTTTCAGCAAGTCCACATACTCAACCATCATATAGTCTTCTATGATTGCTAACACTCACCGCATACACATGAGCAAAAAGTTTCAACCGGACACATAGAAAGATAGGGGCCTATAGTTTCAGCTCCCAACGTACTCACCTCAAGAGTGATGTCAACAATAATAACTCATGCCTAGCCATATCCAGCTGGATATATGTGCCTAGATCTTTCCTCACCACATGGTGCTTGCCAAAAGAGAAAAATAAAAAGGAATACAAGGATACTTTGACTCTTGCATAAAAGTAAATTCGTAAAAGTAAAAGATACACTACTGCGGGATGCTTCTAACACGACACTATGATGAGAGACCCTTCGACGAAACTGTGTGTGATGAAATAATCGCAAACGGTGGTGTAAAAACCATCAAAAAAGGTGCAAAATGTTTATGATGACGGATGCATCAAACACGGTTCAGATTTTGGTTGCGTGTGCGATGCAGGGCATACGGTTCAGTTCAATGAACTGTTTGCGATGAGGAATAAGAATGGAAACGGGCAGCCAGATGAAGGCATGTGCGATATATGGCATATAGTTCACTCGGATTAACTGTTTGTGATGAGGCAGAACAACAGAAACGGGCAGCTAGATAAAGGTGTGTGTGATTGAGGCATACGCTTCAGAAGGATTAACTGTTTGCAAGTAGGCAACAGAACAAAAATGGTCAGGCAGATCAAAGTGTCTGCGATTGATGGCATACACTTCACACGAATGAACTGTTTGCGATTAGCCACAACAAATAGAAACAGTTAGACAGATCAACATGTGTGCGCTAGATGGGCACACATTCTAACTAAAATAAGCGTGCGTGATGGTAATAACGACCGTGCACGGTTCTTGGAACAAGATGTGTGCTAACATTGACTATTGCGGTGCACCCTATGGTGCAAATGCCACATACGTGGCCAAGAAAGCGTGCCCACGTTACGCCGTCCGGGAATAGTGCCGCACTTAGAAATTATAGAACCGTCAAAAATTTTGAGCCCGCGTCCCGTCACATTCCAAATTGCAAACCTGTTCACACCGATCAAAACCTAAACGATTTCCCACTTAGGAGCGTATTAGTACTCGGTTATAAATACTACAACTCCAAGATGACTACACATTCCTCCTCAACTCCTCATCCACAAAAACAAACAAGTCATTCATCATCGTTCCCTTGCGTCTGCCATGGCCAGCGTGAGTTCTGGTTCGAGAGATTGCCACGAGGGAGAAGCGAGCCAGGAAGCGGAAGCACGAGAGATGCTTCGTCTCGCTACGAAAGCAGCCAACATGTCCCGCCGCGCGGCCGTAGAAGCACAGAGGTCCCATCGCACCGCCAAAGCAGCACGAAGGTCCCGCCGCACCGTCGATATGCAGCAGACTAGTGCGGCTGCACCACGGAAGCAGCAGAGATGTCTGGCCGCGCCACGGAAGCAGCAGAGATGTCCTCCCGCACCGCGGTGGCCTGGGAAAATGTGTTGCGGGCAGGCGAGGACTCCTACAGGCACATTCATGAGATCGTCCATAGCTAGATGGATCAGATCTCCGGCTGGGCGAGCTTGCAGGACGATATGAAATCCTTGTTTGAACAGGCTACCGGCGTCATCCGGCAACTAAGGGAGAGCAATGCGAAGCTCCAGGCCGAGCGCGACCTGCTGAGGACGAAGATTGTCAGAAGTGCGGAGCAGCGGGAGGAGACCACTGCCTTGTTGAATAGGACCAGCGTCATCATCGAGAAACTTATGGACGAGAATGTCGTGTTGCTCATGAAGCGCAAAAGGCTGGTGGAGGAATCTGTGGATGCTCTCAAGCAGCATATTGAGGACAGGAAAGAGCTCATCGCCGCTTGCCGCGGAGACTAGTTCTCGCGGCCTGCAGCAACTCATCAAGAAAGTAGAGATCAGCGAGCCAGATTGTTGTCTTCCTTCTTCTTTTGCCCTTGTGTATTTCGGGCGTTGCCGCATGTAGCTTTTTTTAATTATGTTCCTAAATATGTATGACAATTATTATCAACTATCATCGTCCTTATATTCATCATGGTTGCTATAAGTCGCAGACGATGCTATATAGGTCCGTTGGATCTTACTTCAAGATCCGTGCAGAACTTTCTTTTCAGATTTTCATTTCTCTCTTAAACACTACTATGAAAAAGGCTACTAGCAGCGCGGGTAAAATGGCTACTAGCAACGCGGCTACCCGCGCTACTAGTATCGCGCTACAGCTAATAGTTAGTAGTAGCACGGGTGAAAACACTACTATGAAAAAGGCTACTAGCAGCGCGGGTAAAATGGCTACTAGCAACGCGGCTACCCGCGCTACTAGTATCGCGCTACAGCTAATAGTTAGTAGTAGCACGGGTGAAACCCACGCTACTACTAACATTTTAGTAGTAGCGCGGGCGCAACCTGCGCTACTAGTAAACAAATAGTAGTAACGCCTCAGGTTTTTTCCCATGCTACTACTAAAAAGTTAGTAGTAGCGTGGATGCAAACCCATGCTACTACTAACGAAGTAGTAGTAAGGCGTTTGGTGTTTTCCCACGCTACTACTAACTAATTAGGAATTAAAAAAATTAAAATCCACCAATTACATTCTATACATACAATTCCAACTAAAACAAACACATATTTGCAATAAACCAGCAGCATTGCACATCATTACTAATCCAAGATTTATAATAAACCAGCAGCATTAGAGCACATCCTGTAAGAGCATACATATTGTCATGGCTTTTCATGCCTTCAATTAAAACACCTACACTTCTTGCAAAGTCACTTACTCCCAGCTAGTGCAAACACAGTTACAAGCAAACCAAAATGCATAAAAACACCAAACAGTGGCATCCTATCTCTCCATAAAAACACCAATCAGCGCTACCTCCAATCCTCGGCTCACCGGGTCGGCCTCCAGCATCTGCAGCTATGTGCTCTTCAGCTCGTAGTGCCTCCACGCCTTGGTCCAGCATCTCCTTGGCACCTTCCTGAGTGCCTGCAAAATTTATCAAAATTATGCATATTCAGATCATAGATATTCAGGAAATTGGGAGCGAATAGGAACATACATGACATACGCATTACTATTGGAGAAGACTTGGTAAACTACTTATACAAGAAATGGACAGGAAGAAGGAGAATGGCCAATATTCACATTCGTATAATTTTGACCTCAATAAAATTTGAGACATGTAACAACTCAGACTCAGTTTTTTGGTGAATACTCCCTTGAGAAATTAATCAAGATCATCACTCAATTTTGCTTTTCTGATTACCACTTCAAAATGGCAACGAAAACAAACAAACAAATGAATCATTGTTATGTTCTTGAGCTTGGTTAGCTTCGCCACGAGCACATAAAAAGTAGCAACTACAAAATAGTGTAACAACAACTACCAATCAAAATAATGAACTATCTAGCATGAGACAAGCAGTGTGATAATTATGAAAGCTACGAGATAACTAGGACGCAACAGAAAGTTTGCCACTTGATTCCGTCAGTGTAGATAACATCCCAGGCCTGCCTTCCCCTCCCTCCACAATGGCTAGTCCGAAGGAACATATAAGAACAAACAAATTTGTATGACGAAATGATGCAGTGGATTACTTAACTCCTCACTTGTCCAGTAGCACATATAAAAAATTAACTTCCTACTTACAGCAAATATTACACAATTACGCATTCATACTGTGAAGAGAAAGGTGGCTTCTTCCTTACCCAGGCATTTACGGAGAAATGTATAGTCTTTGCATCGAAACGTAAAGGGTTTGCAGCCCCTGCTTGTGGTGCTGCTGGTGGTGGGGCAGCTGATCTGGAACTAGAACCTACACGTGATATGTATGAACTCAGTTGTCAAACACAGTCTTTGAAACCGTTGGATCTTATATGGCTAGTAAAAGTGCAGTATAATTTTACCTGAATTGCGAGCCCTGACACTCTCACTGGATGCTGAAGGTGAAGACCTTATGTCTGGCCTGCTCGGCTGAGTGGAACCAGTGGTTGACATAGGCTCGACCACGAAATCACGATCCTATCAAGTCAAGAAAGCAAACCAAACAGATTTGCCATTTCCAGATTCAAGTGGATAGCTGTGTTTGCCATTTCCTAGACTCTGCGACAAATCCGACATGGAGTAAAAAATCGCAACCCCACAAAGAGGCAACAAGAAGGAAATGTATATATCTACCAAACAGCTGGTTTATTCAAGCGAACAAGCGTATCTGGAGCTGAGGCTCAAGATGCAGTAACCGGTCGACCGGGAGAACACCATAGGGTTCTATTGTAGCAACAAGCAACAGCAAACCTCCCCTTAGCTAATCAGCTACTACTAAGTAGTAGCAGTTGAAGACGCCAGCTACCATTTTCCTAGTGGTTGTAGCTGTCTTTTGGACATGTTAAACTTCAGTTTATGTTTTAGAATATGTCAAAATCAGTCTGACTAACTAGAAAGACTCTAGTGCATATTATATAATCTTTTGTATATGATGGATGTTGTTCTGAAAGCCAAGTTCATTGCTTCATGTTGTTGTGGCGTATGGCAGAATTTTGTATAGTTCCTAAGATGCTCTTATGGAGCTGATATGTTGTATATGATTTTGCTGGCGTTGAGATTGTATAGTTCCTGTTTCATATCTTGGTTTCTCTTCTTTTTTTTAACAAGAGGGGATCGTACCGCCCTTCCATTTCCACTATCAAAACTCAGAAGTCATGATTGGTTTCTCACTCTATTTTTCATAGTTTATCACTTTATATCATAATTTAGGCACCTCTACAGCTATTTTTTGCAAAATCAAGCTTCAGTGCTATGGTTACTGAGAACATGTCGACATTTTGCAGGAATTAACAAAGAGGTCAAGTGAGCAGCTTACATCAGTTCCGAGGATGCCGGCAACCCCTGCCATGGCAAACCAGCAGTGCACGATCTCAGCCTCAACATACCACTTCAGGTCCTTAGGCTGCTTCCCGAGCCCCAGGGGATCAAACCCATAGTCACCAGGCAGCCTACAATGACAAACACCAAGAAACCCATCAGCCTAACAAGCAAACATCGCCACCTGCAGAGAATGTCGTCAGAGATTACCAAATCGAACCGCCGTGCTCCAAGCTCGCTCACGGATTTCACCCCGAAACACGCACAAATCAAGCCCCCGCGCTCCAACCTGCAAGCTCGCTCACCGATTTCACCCGAGCCACGCACAAATCGAACCCCCGTACGTCCTCCAATCTCGCCCATGGATTTCACTCGAGCCACGCACGGATCGAACCCCCTTCAACATCAACCTGCAGGCATCATGGAAGAGCAGGACCTTAATTATGTTGAAAAAAAATTCATTATAATGACTCAGCATCAAACTAGACTAGGTAGTAGTGTCCGTCCGATAATGTCAGAGACAAAATCATCGTTATTGTCACTGGTAAACTGATTACAACCGACCTCACTCACTCACTCACTCACTCACTGCTAGGTAATGGCAGTGAGGAGTATATGCTAATATCACAGACAAAACCATCGGTGTTGTTGCTAGTTACAGCCGAACTCACTCACTGCTAGTGCTAGTAGTACATTCTGACGGTGATAGATATTACGCCCCGCACCGCATATATATTTGAGAAGCTGACTAGAAGCAGCAGCACGGATCAATTCCGCCGAACCTGAGAGAGAGGGAGAGAGAGAGAGAGAGAGGCCGTCATCATACCTCGGGTGGGTGGGGGGCGTGG